TCGCACTTAAATTATTACTTAATAATGGTAAATAACAACTTAGGTCATTTTGCAATTGAATGAGTCGGTTTGTAGTTACTGGCACAAAAGAGATTTTCCTTTTTGTGACAACATTTTTATCGATATTAAACTTTATTAATTGACCACAATGATCAGAATCTATCTTACTAATAATATTTTTAGAAATTGGTGTAAAGTTGGTAAAAATGTTGTCTATACAAGTGGCACTAGTGGCAGTTATTCTTGTTGGCTCCATAAACATTTTGGAAAGATTGTGTGATGTAAAAAGGTTAAGTAATTTCATACTCAAAGTACTTTGTTCTAAAATATTTATGTTAAAGTCTCCACACACAATCTTTTTCTTATTAGAATTTGACAATTTATTTAACATTACATCCATAACTGTTTCAAAAGTATCATAGTTAGATGAGGGAGGTCTGTATACACATACTACGATGAATTGCTCTAACTCTACTGATGCTAATTCAATTGTACGCTCAACAGAGAGGCTCACTATGTCTTTACGTTCCTTATATTTCAACAATTTGTTCAGTATTATTAAAGAGCCACCATGTATGGAATTCGCCCTGGTAAAACGTACTACCAACCTGGTGGTTACTGAAATTAAACATGATTTCATGAACTTTCAACCAATGTTCAGTAACACAGAATATATTAATATCAAAACTATTTAAAAATAATTCTACTTCTAATATTTTACCTCTCAAACATTGAATATTCTGATGCACCAGATTGATATATTGAATACTATTACATACTTTTTTGTTTTTTAAATAAATATTATTATCTGTTAATATTGGGCTAGAGGAGATCTCTATTGTCTTTTTTTGTAGTTTAAAGTTACTCTGTGGTACATTCAAAATATTACTATTACTACTGCATAGCTCAATAGGAGCTTCTTGTATAGCCAAATTCTTAGCTAAAGTTTTAAAATAATAAGATAGCGACATAGCTATCTGTTGTTTTATAAAAGATGGTAGGGAATACCTACTATCAGTCCACTTATAATAATATTTATTAGCATATGATTTGTTAAAATCAATAACATTGAATTTCGAATTGTAAGTACATGAATTGTACAATGTCATATTATACTTATATCTAAGATTATTTTCATGTTGTGGCAACTTGTTACAGTAAGGTAAAGTAAACATTACAATTTTATTAACTTTTAGCTTATTCAAATATTCTAAACATTTTAACAATTCTATTTTGTTTACATTACCCCTATTTCCTATGAAAATTATTAAATTACTTTGTATATTGAAATTTTTGCTGTCTTTATGAATTTGTGAAATAATTTCAGAAAGACAGCAATTTGGTAAACAGCTGTTTGATACTTTTGTATCAAATTGTGAGTATAAATAGGTGCCCATATTCCTTCCAATTTCATCACTGTACATATATGTGTTTCCATGTTGGAGGGAACTATCAACAGTAGAGAGATCAGTCCTGTCACACAATATTCCCTGAAATGGGGGAGTATTGACCGGGGGTGGAGAACTCAGTTGTTTACATTCACATATACAATTGTTTGTGAGTGAGTCAAATCTTTCAGAGTTATACTTAGATAACTTTAGTAGTTCATCCATCTCCAGTTGGTACTCATTTAACATTTTCTCACTACTTTCATACTTTGCAGTAATACTTCTTAAGGAAGTTTGCAACTGGGCTATGTGTAATTCTAATAATTGTGTGTCAGACTCATATCTCTGGCTTATATTTTCCAATTCTAATTTACAAACATTAAATTTTGACAATAGTGAACTGTTATTTTTATATATTTTGGAAATACATTTGTTTTTACTTAATATCTTTTTTGTTTTCTTTATTAATTTATTTACTTTTATGTACTTTTTTAGTTTATTGTTGCTACAATTGTCTAACCGTTGTGCTGGTAAGGTATCATTTGTAAGATCTATAGTTACCGGGTTTTCAATTGTAACATCAACCAACTCTGGAGCGTTCTCAACTAACTCTTCGAACAAGCTATGAGTGTGCAGTGCTGTTGCTTGATGGGCACTCTCTTCCAGCTCAGAGATATATTTTTGTGCATCTCGCAGCTCGCACTCCAGTGTGGTGATCCGCTTCAGTGCCTGTTCATACTCCACCGCACACTCATCAAAACTAACTACTATTGATTTTAATCTGTCTCTCTCCTCTGAAAGATCACTATAATCTATATGTAACCGTGTCAATGAAGCTTTTAACTTGTCATTACTTTTTAATATTGTCAATAATTCTTTTTCATTTTCCTCTCTTTCACTATGCAGTTGAGCACACAAATCCTTACTTACTTTTAGTTCCTGTAAAGCCAATTGGAGTTTAGACTCCTCCTGGCGGGCAAATGCTCTACGGGTTGTCATTATAAATCAAATAAAAGGATTCGTGGGGCAAAACAAAAGAGAGGTTAATGTTGATAAATTGCAATTACTAGTACAAGTAAATTAAAGTATTATAAAGCAATATTTAATATAATAACTATTGGAAACACACTATTTTGTTTAAAATAACAACTAAATTTCAAATTTTTCAGCTTAACTGACACTTAACTTATTTCATAAATAAAAACTATTTTACGCACTAATATCACTAATTATTAATAACTAACACTTATCACTACTTATTTTAGTGATTTAATAGGAATATGGCACAAAATACTTAGGAATAATTAATATTTTAACAAATAAATGTAAGACGAGTAAAAACAGCTGTTTACGCCAGTGTTGCCATCATCATAATCCACAAGCTCCTGTTGGGTCCAAACAGGCGCGAGTGGTGTTCCCCTATCCGCCACCCGGGGACGCGTCCGGTAGCAGTCAGCCTCTGCCCCGGAACATGAAAATATCAGAGGTGCGAGACCCTGGATTTGAACCCGCTTCACTCGGTTTCACAAGCGAGCGCGTTACCACTGGGCTACCACTGCCTATGTCCAGTATTATTATTCATAAATCTTCAATGATGAATATTTCGAACACTGGACGAACGTTAATTGTTTTGAATTGAAATAACAATTTTTCACATGGTATACCTAAATGCGTTAGTAATAGTAAATAAATATATGAAGTCATCTCGAGCGTACTTTTATGGTAATGAAGCATCGTACGTATGCTAATTGATTGATATGTTAATAATTTTAGAAGGTTACATTTTGTTATTCAACTTTAACTGTATGTTTTATTTTACTAGCCCCTTAAAGCAAAACATACTTTAAGAAAAGGTTTTTATTTTAAATAAAACTATCTTTTCGGATTTTTCGCGGATTTATTTAGATTTTTGATTCCCGACGTTTCGAATGCTTTACAGCAATCATAGTCACGGGAAAGACTGAGGTGTTAGATGTCTCAAAGGATACAGTTGTTACAGACAGCTTACCCACAAATAACAAAATGAATTCAAAAAATTGAAAGATGGCACGAAAGTACCTTACAATATTTCTTAATTTTAAATTACATCTAACACCTCAGTCACTCCCGTGACCGTGATTGCTGTAAAGTATTCGAAACCAAGCAAAAATCCAAATAAATCCGCGAAAAAATCCGATAAGATAGTTTTATTTAAAATGTCAAATATTCGCGTAAATCTAAAAAAGTATTAAAAGGTTTTTATGTACTATAGACACTTAAGAAGTAATTTAAAAAAAAGTTAGATTCTTTTCTAGATATTTGAGTCCACCATTAAAAAATGAATGGCACGTAAGACCCTCAGTTCCGTGCTGACCTCTCACCGGTCTCAACCCGTCAGAGTATGAGAGTCACAGGAATAGAGTGTGCACGTTGTGTCTGCGCGTACACTTGTGCACTATAATATCTCCTGAACAGTAGCTAGTTTTAGTAAGATTAAATGCCGTTACCGAAATCGATCAAAAAAATATATTCACCAGTTAAATAATTTAAATAATAGGCTGACAGCCTCCGATATCAATGAAATCACTACGTCATAAGAAAATAAATATTTTATACTTTATAAAGGAAAATGTACAATGCCACAAATATGAATAAGATTATTGACAGCGCTTAGTTTATATATAGTGCGATAAAAAATGTAGGTCAGTGGTAAGGCCAAATAAATAATAATTAATTTATATAATACACATTAATTAATTATTAAATCGGATATATTATCTATATGGCCCGGATATTTAAGCTCGGATATTTTATTTATTTTTATTATTTATTTATTTATTTTAGGGAAACAAACAGTACAATATTACATAAATAATAATAGACAACACATAAACCAATGAAGTTTCCACAAATTAAACAATACACAAATAAAAAGCAGACCACAATGAAAATAAGAAAAACAAAAAGCTAAACACTAAACTAAAAAACTAAAAATATAACACTTTCTTAGATTTACGCGAGTATCTGACATTTTAAATAAAACTATCTTTTCGGATTTTTCGCGGATTTATTTTGATTTTTGGTTCCTAAACCAAAAAAAAAGAATCCGCGAAAAATTCCGAAAAGATAGTTGTATTTAAAATGTCAAATATTCGCGTAATAGTATGATACAGCTATACGCCCTTACTTACACAATAAAGAAAAATTAAGTTTTTTTAATTTTGATACACCTGAACAAGTACTCTGTTTTATCACATTTAAATTATCTCTTACCTGGTGCCATTTTTATCTATAAATACTAGCGACTAACCGTCGCTTCGCTCAGGCACGTTTTAATGGTTAGTATAGAATAGACTGTATGATATATGCCTATATCCTTCCTCAATAAACGGGCTATGTAATGCAAAAAGAATTTTTCAAATCGGATTACTAGTTCCTGATATTAGCGCGTTCAAACAAACGCACAACCTTTTATAAAAAATTATTACTAACAGAACTCTAGGTGTTACTCCAGGCTATCTATCTGTATACTAAATTTCATCTAAATTAGTTTAGCCGTTTCAGCGTAGAGGACAAACAAACATACAAACTTTCGCATGTATAAAATTAGTGTTACTTAAGAATGAAACTCACCGATTTCCTTTTCGTATCGTTTCCGGAAAGGTTCTAATTCGGGATCGTATTTGATTTTCTTAGGTAGCTTCAACCATACTTGTAGAGCCTCCGCTGTTAGTTCCCCAGCAGATACTAGGGAGTACTGACTTCTGCTTAGCTCAGGAGTTGAAGATTTCCTAGGAACACCACTCCATTCCTTCACTCGTTTCACAAATTTATCCATTTTTTAATCAAAAATTCAACTACACGCTAACATATTATATTTGGTCACTGATAATTTTCAACGTCTGTCAGTCAAATATTCATACTTTTTGGAAGAATTTTTATAATAGCACAGATAGTAGCGTATAGAGCTTATTAGGTTATATTTCGATAAAAAAGTATTTAATCTTGTACCTATATGATTAAAAAAATAGTATTTCTGTTTGTATGTCTATCTAATCTAAGTCCTAAATATTTTCAAAATTATTCCACTAATATAAAGCTACACTTCTTGAATTTCAAAATGTCTATCGATGTAAAAACGCGAAAAGTTGTATAACACAGTATATTTCAATTTTTAGTAGGTTTGTAAGGGCTTCCGCACATTATGAAGTCTACTGTAATACTGACTCTGAACTCTGTGTACGAACTGCCCTTATATAAGGTTTTCCCTTCGAGTGTGAAGAAGCTCAGTAAATATAAGAAAATGTTCATAATTGAAGGAAAACTCATCAAAATTTGCTAAAGTTTGGCTCAGTTTGTAGTGACCCTACTTACTGTACCAGCGGTCGCGGGTTCGAGTCCCGCTAAGGGCATTCATTTGTGTGATGAGCACGAATGTTTGTACTCCAGTCATGGGTGTTTATATTTATAACATGTATGTAATGAAAGTTATATATGTGTAGTTTATCAACTATCTGGTATCCATAACGCAAGCCTCGGAGCTTACCATTTAGAACTAGATGGTGCTATGTTGACCCAGATAACCAGCTATCATCATACCAAATTTCATCAAAATCTGTCCAGTGGTTTTCTCCTGATGCGTTCCCAGAAAGGCAGACAGACAAAAATTAAAAAACCATAGAATCGGCCTGTGTATCGATAATAATGTCTATTTCAATAAGATCTTGGAAAAAATATTTAATGCACAGATTCGACTCAGTTACAATTTTATTATATTTATAGACTACATATGTATTTATAAGAAAATCCTGGATAAAAATAAGTTTTTTAACGTAACATTAAACTTTATTTGTTTATAATAACGCAGGTGTTAACTATAAATAGATGTTTATTTAAAGCTGTTTGAAGACAATTACTAGATTTTATTCTGTTTGTGATGGGCTATAAAGTATCGCCCGACTATAAATATTTGTTACGCCAATTTGACGTGGCAGCCCAGTGTTAGCACATTCGCTTGGGAAATCAAGTGAAGTGGGTTTAAAGCTCGAGTTTTGCATCTCCAATATTCTCTTGTGCCTTACAGACACGGAAACCATCTTGAAGAACATGTCTGAGGAAATCTAACTAGTTTTCGAAAAACATGTTGAGTCCGTCAACTCGCACTTGGCCAGTGTAATTCCCACTCGTATTCTTTATTTTGAAGCAGGTACATGCCCAGCAGTGGGATATTAAAATAGCTGAATGAGAGACAGAGCAAGAGAGATAGAGAGAGAGAGAGATAGAGAAAGAGATAGAGATAAAGAGAGAGAGATAGAGAGAAAAAGACAATATTTGGTTAACTGATGCTACTATCAGCGTTGGAAATCGCAGGTTTACACACTGTAAGATGAGAAGTGTTTAGTAATGACAAGTGCTCTAGAGGTATCGCACTCGCTTGGAGAACCAAGTGAATCCAAATGAAAGTAGGTTCAAATCCCGGATCTCGCACCTCAAACATTTTCACTTGGGAATTATTTTTAATATTATGACTTACTAATATAGTGCAAAAAGCATCATAAAGACAGCCTCAAAGACATGTGAAGGCCTCTAGCACGCTAGACTGTGGCCTGATCACATTGAAGGAGGCCTGTGCCAAGTGAGAATAACAAACATATATACACACATATATATATACATACAAACATACAAACTTTCGTATTACAATAATACTGTGTTAATGAAAGATAAAAACGTGCTCAGATGGTTTAAGCATGTAAAATGAATAGCAAAGTAAAAAGATGAGGTCAGACGTGAGTGGATTTTACAGAACTGTAATAGACTACTTAGTAAATAGTGTTGCCCCTCGATATTGCTCTTGTAGGTTTTTGTCCATGTCACATGCCTGTGTTGACAAATATTCTCCGTTTCAAATTATTCTCAAACCATCTACGCCATCATAAAGTAAAGAAGTAACAAGCACACATACATTTTAAATAAAACAATCTTTTCGAATTTTTTCGCGGATTTATTAAGAGTTTTGGTTCCCGACGTTCCGAATGCTTTACAGCGCACACGTTCACGGGAGAGACTAAGGTTATAGACGTCTCAACTTTATTTAAAACTAGCGACTTACCCTCGCTTCGCTCGGGTTCGTCCCTACTTACGTTTTAACGTTTAGTATGGATTTCTCAGAGATGAGATATTTTCCCGCAGTAAAAAGTATCCTAAATGTTGACCCGGATAACCAGCTGTCATCATACCAAATTTCAATAATATCTGCAGGGTTTTTAGTGAAATTTGTTTGGAAAATCTTATTGAAATATCTATTATTACGATACAGAGGCCGAAACTATAGTTTTTAGAATTTTTGTCCGTCTGTATATCTGACTGTCTGGGAACGCATCACGAGAAAACCACTGGATAGATTTTAATGAAATTTGGTATGATGATAGCTGGTTATCTAGGTCAACATATAGGATACATTTTCCTGCGGGAAAATATCTCATCTCTGAGAAATTTATACTAATCGTTTAAACGTACCAAGGAACGATCCCGAGCGGAGCGAGGGTGAGTCGCTAGAAAGTATATATATTATATATATACATAAGTTTCAAAAATTAGCACGTACAAACAAAAAAACCAACTTCGCCTTTATAAGTATAGATAATAATTAAATGAGTATAAAATCCAACTACAACATATCTTTATAAAATAATCATAATTTTGAAGATCGTTAAAATTTACATCGTTAGAAGCTCGTTTCTGTGAAATAACATTGTAGCAGTCATTATACTTAAATTAGGCTATTTTGAACTCATCTATCTGCGTCAAAAAAATACTAGAGCTAAGACATGCTACGGTAAAGTATTCTGTATATAATATTTTTTTTTTTGGTTTGTTCTCGTAGAGAAAAATCTTAGAAGCGATACATTCATAGACTAGCGACACACTCTCGCTCTGCTCGGGTTCGTCCCTAGATAGGTACGTTTTAACGGTTACTATAGATCTCACAGACATATATTTAGATATTTTCCCGCAGTAAAAAGTATCCTATATGTCGACGCGGATAACTATCTATCACCATACCAAATTTCATAAAAATCCTTCCAGTGTTTTTTCCGTGATGCGGTAACCAAACTTCATCAAAATCTGTCCAGTAGGATGCCTTCCCAGACAGATAGACAGACAAACATTCTAAAAACTATAGATTCGGTTTCTGTATCAATAATAATGACTATTGCAATAAGATTTTCCAAAACAATTTTATATCAAATTCGACTAAGAATTATATTATTTCTTTACTATAATATATATAATTACATATATTTTAGTTGAAGTAAAAATCGTCATAGCCCTTTTAAAATTCGTTTGTATAAATTCTTAAATAAATTACCTCCATGGGCTTGTTCTTCTGTTATTTCTGAACTTCATCACTAACAAAAGTTATAATTTCAATTAAATTTTGGCAATTTAAAGGGCGAAAACAAACAAATTATCACTATTATAAATTTTTCTTAATATTTCCCGAGAGCCCTTAAAAGGCCCTTCTGATAACCTCTCAAGAGCGTCACACTTAGCTACTTATCTACAAAGGCACTCAACGACTGAAGAATTCACCCCTATTCTACCTTCATATAGTAAATACCAGTTCTTAATCTAATATAGCAACTGATTATTTGTTCAATAAAACAATGAGTGTAGTTTTTACTAGATTTAGTTGGATTTTAATGCCATTGTTAACAGTATTTTAGAATTTAAAAATGTAATTACATTATAATATAGTTATAGCTCTGTTGAGGCATTAGTAGCCCAGTGGTAACGTGCTCACTTGGGAAACCGAGCGAAGCGGGTTCAAATCTCGGATCTCGCACCTCTAATATTTTTATATGCGAATAATTTCCATCATGATTATCATTTACTAGCGACTCACCCTCACTTGGCTCGGGTTCGTCCCTAGCTTGCTTCCCCCTAAAAATTTCATCCCCATTTTCACCCCCTTAAGGGATAATTTCCGGGATAAAAAGTATGCTATGTCCTTCCCAGGGTCGCAAACTATCTTCATACCAAATTTCATCTAAATCGGTTTAGTAGATCTAGAGATTACCCCCTACAACGTCATAAACTCACAATTCACAAACTCATAAACTTTACCTCTTTATAATATTAGTATAGATTACTTGTCTTTCGGTGATGGAGAACATTGCAAGAAAACCCGCATGTCTGAGAGAGCGTAGCAAGTGTTCGAATGATATGTGCAGTCCGCCAACCCGCACTTGGCCAGCGTGGTGGACTATGGCCTGATCCCCCTCGTATTGAAGGAAGGCTCAAGCCCAGCAGTAGGATTTTAAAATGATGTGGTAGTGGTGTGCTTATGTTACAATTTATAACACAGATAGACTATGACTTAGAGTAACACATAAACTACTGTCAGGTACATAAAGAAGCAAGGGCAAGTTGCTTATATCCATAATAATAATATAAATGTTGTTTGTTTGTTTGTCCTTCTTTCACGTCGAGAAAGAGTGACGGATTGGAGTGATTTTTTGTATGGATATAGTTGGAGCTGGAGAGTGATATAGGCTACTTTTTAGCGGGAGATTATCTCAATTCCACGGGAAAACACGTTAAAATAAAATAAAAAAATGATCGGAATTACTTGAAACTTAGTATTAATACTCTTAAGTACAATTATATAAATACGTGTTTTATAATTTTTCGAAATTCATCCCATAAGCGAGTAAAATAGCTGTGAAAGATTGATGAAACCTACGTTTTGAGAGTTTTTTTGTAGTTTTAGCGCGAGCGAAGCCGCGGGTTCTGCTAGTAATAAATAAATAGCAAAAATAAATCTAAATAAAA